AGTTGTGATTGCTTTTTATTCATGCTATCTATTTCACTGACAATTTCTCCTCTCATTTCTTGTTTTGTTTTTTTTTTTTATTTTTAAAAAATTGTACTTCACGTTTCTCTGATGCCTCCTAGATTAGCTTAATAAATGATCTTCTGAATTATTTTTCAGGTAAATCAGGGATTTCTTCTTGGTTTGGATTCATTGCTGGCGAGCTAATCTGGTTTTTGGGGGATGTTAAAAAACCTTGTTTTGTCATATTACCAGATTGTTTTTTCTGGTTCTTTCTCATTTGGGTAGGCTATGTCAGAGGGAAAGTCTAGGGTTCAAGGCTGCTGTTCAGATTCTTTTGTCCCATCGGGTGTTCCTTTGATGTACTACTGTCCCCCTTTTTTTAGAGATGTGGCTTCCTGAGAGCCGAGCTATAGTGATTATTATCTCTTCTGGATCTAGCCACCCAGCAGGTCTACCAGGCTCTGGGCTGGTACTGGGGGTTGTCTGCACAGCATCCTGTAATGTGAACTGTCTGCAGGTGTCTCAGCTAGGATTTCCTTGGATAGGGCTTGCTATAGCTGCTGCAGGAAATGTGGTGTTTTTCCCAGGTTAATGGAGTTATGCTCCCAGAAGGATTATGGCTGCCTCTGTGGTGTCATGCAGGTTGTCAGGGAAGTTGGGGAGAGCCAGCAGTTACATACCTCACCCAGCTTCCATGCAACCCAAAAGGTCAGTCTCATTCCCACTGTACCCCACACCCCAACAGCACTGAGATTTTTCCAGCCAGTGGGTGAGCAGGGCTGAGTACTTGCCCCAAGCTACCAGCCTCCCAGCTGATAAAGTGAGCAGGGTTTTGGTGCCTTCCTGCCTGTAGAGTCTGCACACCAGATTCATGCCCTCCTGGAGTTCTTGCCAGGAGACTTTGTGTTCAGTTGGAATTGTTACAAAGTTCAGCTGGAGGTTTCCTTCCTCCTGTGGTCTTTTCCAAGTACTTCTGGCAGCTCTCCCCAAAAACACCTTCGAGGCAAGTATGAAATAGCTTCCCAGGGGACCCAGAAAGCCCACAAGGTTTTTTCTGCTGTTTCCTCTACCCCTGTATTTTACTCACTCTCTAAACTGCTCAGCTCCAGGTAAGGTCAGATCCTTCTCCCGTGACCTAGACATTCAGGTTCCCCAGTAAGGTTATGTGTTTGGGGGTGGGTGATCCCTTTTTTCCACGTTCACAGATGGGGCACTCCCAGTATTTGGGCTGTCTCCCAGGTCCTGCAGGAGCAATCCACTTTCTTCAGAAGGTCTGTGGGTTCTCTCAGCTTTCCTGGTTTATTCCTGCAGTAGTTCTGGAGCAAAAGTTCACGAGGCAAGTCTCCACACACTGCTTTGTCTGTCCTAGTGGGAGCTGCAATCTGGTTCTGCCTCCTGAATGCTTTTTTTTTTTTTTTTTCAAAAAAGTGGTTTGTAAATTTCTCTTTATTTTTTACTAAATTAGAAAATTCAAAGCCAAAATGTTAGGTCAGGAATAAAAACAAGCATCAGGTGAGAGGGTGTTTAGCATAATGGTTAATATAGTGAAACTCAGAATCAGGTGGTTTCTGATTGCATCCCAGTTCTGCCACTTATGGGCTGTATGACGTATATACAGTTTCTTGACCTCTCTTTGTTTGACTTTTCAATGGTTCAGCGAAAATAATAGTCATAAATGCTAGGGTTTTTATAAAATTTAAGCAATTAAAAGAAAGATGTCCAAAGAGTACCCAGAACATAGCAAGTGTACAAGAAACTTATTAGCTCTTATTTGTCAATTCTGTTAGATCATGATTAATGTTAAGCCTGAAAACAAGGTCCCTACATCAGTGGTTTGTAACCCATGTCTATTCTAGTCAGTCTGGGGCTATAATGCTAGTCAAATATTTTTAATACTATCCTTTTATTTAAAAAAGCATAATAGTATTTTTGATTGACATATCAAAGTTGCATACATTTCTGGAGTACAATGTGATGCTTGAATATATTATACATATATATATACACACACATATGTAATATGGAATGATTAAATCAAGTTAAATAACATATCTATGAACTTGCTTACCTATTGTTTTTTGTCATGAGACACTTGAAATTTAGTTATTTCAAAATATACAATACATTATTGTTTACTATAGTCATCCTGCTGTGCAATAGATCTCAAAACCTACTGAAACTTTGTACCCTTTGATGAACAACTCCCTGTTTTCTTCCCACCACACTCAGCCTCTGCTAAAGATGATTTTACTTTCTACTTTCTTGAGTTAAACTTTATTCTATATATAAATGAGGTCATGCAATATCTGTCTTTCTGTGTCAGGGTTATACCATCTAGTGTAATGTCTTCCGAATTTATATTGTTTGAAATTATGAGATTTACCCCTTTTTAAGGCTGAATAGTATTCCATTGTGTATCTACGCCACATTTGTTTTTCAAAAAAATTATTTAAGGCCAGGCTTGGTGGCTTATGCCCGTAATCCCAGCACTTTGGGAGGCTGAGGCGGGTGGATCACGGGGTCAGGAGACCATCCTGACCCACATGGTGAAACGCCAATTCTACTAAAAATACAAAAATTAGCTGGGTGTGGTGGCATGCACCTGTAATCCCAGCTACTTGGGAGGCTGAGGCAGGAGAATGGCTTGAACCCAGGAGGCAGAGATTGCAGTGAGCCAAGATCACACCACTGCACTCCAGCCTGGTGACAGAGCGAGACTCTGTCCCACCAAAAATTAAATATATTCATCTATTGTTGAAAAACTCATGTTATGGAAGGATATTTCTGTGTTAAAACATGTATTAATATAATTCAGCATATACATATATTATTAATAATAGCTAATTTGTACTGAGCATGAGCCATAACACAATTTATGTGTTAATAAATTTAATGCTCACAGTAACTGAATAACAGGTATTATTATTATCCTCATTTTACAGAGAAAGAAACAAAGCCAAGGAGAAAAATGACTTGCTTACTATACCAAAGCCAATATTAAACCACAGGCAACTTTGTCTCCAGAGATAAACCAATAAAACAATAAAAACCCTCTTCAAACAGAAAAATTAATTTTATATATGTATATGTATATATATTTTGAGATGGAGTTTTGCTCTCGTTCCCCAGGTTGGAGTGCAATGGTACAATCTTGGCTTACCTGCAACCTCTGCCTCCTGGGTTCAAGCGATTCTCCTGCCTCAGCCTCCCGAGTAGCCAGGACTACAGGCATGTGCCACCATGCCCAGCTAATTTTTGTATTTTGAATAGAGACGGGGTTTCACCATGTTAGATTGGATGGTCTCAATTTCTTAACCTCGTCCCGCCTCGGCCGCCCAAAGTGCTGAGATTACAGGCATGAGCCTCTGCACCCGGCTCACAAAATTATTTTTGACATTAATTTTTAAATAAAAGTTAACCAGAATTGATTAATTGGATACATTTTCATTGTCCTATGTACTTGTGAATGTATAAAATGGTACATAAGCGAGAAAAAAGCCAGTAAAAGGATAAGTTAGTTAATATTTCAATGAATAAAATTGGAAAGTAGTTAATTATTATTTGCAGATGATATTTTTGTTTGCTTAGATGACAAAAGCAACTAAAAGACTATTTTAAAAGTCTATTCAGGTGCCTAGGCAAAATTCTAAGATGATCCTCAGGATTCCCAGTTTGTTGCACACCTGCTGTGTAATCCTTTTTTTAAGTGTAAAAAAAAAAAGTGTGACTGTGGTGGAAAATCACTCATGAAATTAGGTTACTAATGTGTTGCCTTTGTGTTCATCAAAAGGGAGATTATCCTGATTGGGCTAAACTAAATCAGAGGTGCTTTTAAAAGAAAGGGACACATCCTGGGCATGGTGGCTCACGCCTGTAACCCTAGCGCTTTTGGGAGGCCTAGGTGGGCACATCATGAGGTCAAGAGATGGAGACCATCCTGGCCAACATGGTAAAAATACAAAAATTAGCTGCGCGTGGTGGCACGTGCCTGTAGTCTCAGCTATTTGGGTGCCTGAGTCAGGAGAATCTCTTGAACCCGGGAGGTGGAAGTTGTGGTGAGCCAAGATCGTGCCATTGCATTCCAGCCTGGCGACAGAGTGACACTCCTTCTCAAAAACAAAACAAAACAAGACAAAAAAGAAAAAAAAAAGGGACACATCAGAGAAAAAGACCCCTGCTGGTCTGGAAGTAAGTGACTTCCAGGTGGGCTAGCTAAACTGCTTATGGAGGCCACATGGCAGGAAATACATTTGTATCTTTTCATTATTCCTGGCTCCCACATGTTGCTTCCAGTAGGGAGGACAGGAGGATCCCATGGATCCTCCCCATGGCAGAGGAAAGAAGAGGGGGTTCTCATTCATTCAATAAATAATCACCTGATGATCTGAGATAGCTTAAGATAAACAGAGGAGACCACACATGACCACATTAAAGGGAGGAAGGAGGCAATCTGGTTGAAAGGGGTCACCGGCATTATGAAGCAACATTTAGTAAGTGGTAGTGAATGATGAGCCTGTGGGATATTGATAGTCTACCATCAATGAGAGTGAACTCATTCTAATTAAATCAGCATGTGTGCACCATTCTGGTGACCCAGTTTTACACTACCCATTACAGAAATACCATGGGAACCAGTAGGTACCCTCCTAGAATTAAAATTATCATGAGAAACATATCTAATTTTTCATTTTCACAATTGAAAAATCTTGAGAACATTATTAATTTGATGATGAACTTATCTTCTGTTAATTTTAGATTTTAGAGAATTCTACTATACTTTAATACAATATTGAACTTTAAACATCTTAATATATATGTATTTCTTTTTTTTTGTTTGGAGACAGAGTCTCAGTCCATCAACAAGGATGGAGTGCAGTGGCACCATCTTGGCTCACTGCAACCTTCACCTCCCAGGTTCAAGAGATTCTCCCGTCTCAGCCTCCAGAGCAGCTAGGCTCACATCACCACACCTGGCTATTTTTTTTTTTTTTTTGAAATGACAACATAAGTGTTTAATGATCTTCACCATGCTTTCCATTCCCAGTAAAAAGTAAAAACTCATAGATTTTAAGTGGGGTGGGGAGTAGTGAATGGGAGAAAACAAGTTTTAGGGAAGGACAGCCAAACTGTCTAATTTAGGCTCTCGTTAACCTCAACAGTCTTTGAGGCACCATAAAGCTGTTACAAAGCCATGACTAATGCTGCCTCTAGATGGAAGCATAACTAATTATAAAGGTGATTCTTGCCAGCTGCTGTGGTGCAACTATAGTTCCAGCTACTTGGGAGGCTGAGGAGGGAGAATCACTTGAGCCCAAGAGTTCAAGGCTAGTCTGGGCAACACAGTGAGACTCTACCTCAAAAAAAAAAAAAAAAAAAAAAAGCAAAAGGTGATTCTCTAGAGAGCGAACTCTGGGATATTGGAGAGTAACAATATAATGATCTCATTTCTGCCTACTTAGAAGAAACTCCTCTCCTTTTGCTGTGTGGGGACTGTTATTTCAAGCAGAAAGGACATCAGCAAAGAGTAAAATCGATACCTTTTACTCTCCACATTACAATAGTTCTCAAGCAAAGCTTGGATTTTCTATTTAATCAGTATTGATCCAAAGGTATCCAGAATGAAGTGATTTTCGGCATTTATCCTTTGCTAATCTTGCTATTATGAATCCCGAAATTGGTATGACACATTTCAAGGGTGCAACTTAAAGTAAGTCTACACAACATGTAAGGCTAACAATTGCCACATATTTTAATGAGAAAAACATCAAAAAAACTTCTCAAATTGTTTTCCAGTGGCATAGTCAATGGATACTTTTTTAAAGCTGCAAACAAATAAATGGTACTGATACTGTGTTAAAGGCCCCCTGGGTATGCTTCCATCATAGCATCTCCGTCCTCCAACTACAATAAATGCTAAGACTGATTAAGCCCTTAGGTTAAAAGGCCATGTCTACTGGAAATACTACAGGATCCGCTACTGTCTCCATTAAGGCAAACCATTTCTAAATAATGGTGAAAGGAATGTTTCTGAAATCTCCCAATTGTAAAGGACCTGAAAAGAAAGTATAAAAACAGCAAGAAAATGGGTACATATATAGAATCATACCATCTTTTCATCATGCAACATTGGCTCCTCACATCAGGAAGATTAAATAGAATATTTATACATATTCTTTGTACACATCTTTCTCTCCCTCTGTGAGTACACATGTACTTGTCCTTGCCTGGGTCTCCAAGGCTACATGTGGTAATGGGCTACATTTGCTGAACCAGAGTCCAGTTTGGTTTTGTTTCTTGCTGAGGATATGTTCTAGGTCTTCTCTTAATTTTTTCAGATATCCGCATACACCACAGACTCTGACTTGTTAATCTTGTCACTATGATGTCCACCAGAGTGGTCTAACTGTGCATATATGACTGGGACCTGGTGAGATCCAGAAGGCAGTCTCTTTACAAAACCCTCAGTGTCAGAGTGGGACTTCCGAGGAGCCTGTTTAACTGGTGTGACAAACTCTCTGATGTAACCCCGTTTAGAGTTTTTCCTTCTATAGAGGACAGCCAGAATCATGCTGATGAGCAGAGTGAGACCTAGGATCACAGTAGTAACTATGCCCCACACTACCCAAACTGGAAACACAGGCAAACTCTCTTTTTCTACAACATAGAGCATAATGTGTCCAGACTGGAAAACAATGTCAGGAGGGTTTTTGACATCACAGCTATAGGTGCCATTGTATATAGACTGCATATTTTCTGTGTTGATTGATGCATCTTTCTTGTCAAGGTCTTCAGCCCAGCTGATTCTGTCTTTAAATAGTGGATAATTCCCAAGGTACACCTGCCCTTGGGAATAGTGGAAAAATGACGTGGTGGTGTCAGCCCCCTCTGGCTGGAAGCTTCAGAAGACTGAGGTCAACCCGCCAGTCATATTAGTAGACTTGAGCTTGCAGGTCAGCTTCCCTTATGTACCATTTGCCATGAAGATTTCTTTTGGTGTATATGCTTCCAAGGCTGGTAGTCCAGCTGTCAAGAGCCCCAGCACCACTGCCAGCACTGACCACAGCCAGCGCTTCCTGTCTGGGGCTGCAGTAACTGTCCCAGCTCTGGCAGGCGCTGCCATTGTCTAGCCACTGCAGTCGCTGCCACTGCACCTCTGAGCCCGGGTCCCCACTGAGGTTGGCTTGGCTTGGGGAAGAGGGTTTTGATCTCTCTGCCACCCGTGCTGGGTAGCATCTCCATGCCACACTCCCTACGCTGGACCCAGCCGTGGCTCACCAGATCTGCACCCTAGCCACAGTCCCGCTCCGGCTACACCTGGCTAATTTTTTTTATGTTTAGTAAAGATGAGGTTTCACCACGTTTGCCAGGCTGGTCTCGAACTCCTGACCTCAAGTGATTTGTTCACCTCAGCCTCTCAAAGTGCTGGGATTACAGGTGTGAGCCACTGCACCTGGTCATAATATTAATATTTATTTATTTAGACAGAGTCTCGCCCTGTTGCACAGACTAGAGTGCAATGGCACGATCTTGGCTCACTGCAACCTCCGCCTTCAAGTGATTCTCTTGCCTCAGCCTCCCAAGTAGCTGGGATTACAGGCGCACACCACCATGCCCAGCTAGTTTTTTGTATTTTTAGTAGAGATGGGGTTTCACCATGTTGGCCAGGCTTGTCTCGAACTCCTGACCTTAAGTGATCCACCCACGTTGGACTCCCAAAATGCTGGGATTACAGGCGTGAGCCACCGCACCCAGCCATGAATATTTCTTTAATGTATGAACAGTTACGTAGATATTTGCTCTTAGAGTAACATAATAAAAGTAACAATTAGAGAAAACATTTGAAATGGGATAAAATTAATCAAAACCACATCTTTTCAATGGCTTGGCATAATTGCCGTGCTTTTTGAAATGGCCAGATTACTAGCAAGAAGCAACGACAAGATTTTGGCTTTGCTCAATCATTAAGTTATTGACCTTATGAGATCTAAAATCCTGGCTAAAGGATTTGAAAGGCGTATTCTTTAGGTGGCTTCCTAGGGTATCCAAGAAAATGCAAGAAGACTTTTGAAGTTAGGCAGGAGAATGCATTCGATATACATTGCTCTTCTCTGATTTGCTTTAACATCAAAAGATTGAAGATTGCAAATCTAATCTCTCTATGTAGAGTAAATTAGGAAAGGATTTATTTTTCATCCAGGGAAATAATTGTATAAAACTAATGGGAGTGTGGTGGCTCACATCCGTAATCCCAGCACTTTGGGAGGCCAAGGCGGGCAGATTACTTGAGGTCAGGAGTTTGAGACCAGCCTGACCAGCATGGTGAAACCCCATCTCTAGTAAAAATACAAAAAATTAACCAGGTGTGGTGGCGCATGCCTGTAGTCCCAGCTACCTGAGAGACTGAGGCAGGAGAACGGCTTGAATCTGGGAGGCGGAGTTTGCAGTGAGCCAAGATTATGCCATTGCACCCCAGGCTGGGTGACAGAGCAAGACTCTGTCTCAAAAAAAAAAATTAATTAATTAATTAATGGGTAACAGATACCGTTAGCTGCCAAAAAAATAGTATGACTAGATTCAGTAAGTATCTAGCCATGCAAATAACAGTCCATTAAGTTAAGACTCTAATATGTGTATGTGAACAGCATTTATGTGCAATGTGATGCACTTCTACTCAGCACCTTCTTTTGCCTGCTTGCAGAGGTATCAATTTCCCCTGAGTGATTCAGGGTGCGTACTGATAATTGAGAATGCTGTGTTCAGAGGGATTACTAGGAATATCATTAACACAATTTTTTCCATATTATAAAGAAATTTTATGAATCTTACTCTGCCTCACAAAGGCTTTTAGTAAAAGATTGTTTATTTATAGTGCTCGATTTGAATTCATGGGAAATTTCAATATTCCAGGTAAGTCAGAGACACTTAAGTGTCAACAAAATTCCATAATACATACTTGAATGAGATAAAGTCTTCTTAGCTAAGAATTTTATTTTATCCATAAATTTAGAGAAGAACAGAAAACCAGTACTTTGGGCCAAATAACAGTGTTTGACATGGAATTACCACCCAAGCAAGTGCTCTCCAACATCATCATTAAAATAGCAATAGCACCATGTGCTTTCCTAGAGACAGCTGGCCTGTTTTGCACTGATATAAAGTGGAGAAGGCGTTGAAATAATGAAGGGGGGTGATATACATTGAATAATCATATGAAATACAATTTTTAATAAAAAGAAGCATTTGAAGTTGTATAACTATAGATGAGACTGTTAGTATGAGTTTATCATATTTTTACTTCTTTTTTTTTTTTTTTTTGAGACTGAGTCTCACTCTGTCACCCAGGCTGGAGTGCAGTGGCGCAATCTCTCGCTGCAACCTTGGCTGCCCAGGTTCAAGAGATTCTCCTGACTCAGACTCCTGAGTAGCTGGGATGACAGGCACCTGCCACCGTGCCCAGCTAATTTTTGTAGTTTTTAGTAGAGACAGGGTTTCACCATCTTGGCCAAGCTGGTCTTAGAACTTCTGACCTCCTGATGCACCCACCTTGGCTTCCCAAAGTGCTGGGAATCCAGGTGTGAGCCACTGCGCCTGGGCAATATTTTTACCTCTATTGATAGGATAACTTCATTCACAATATTCTTATTTAAAATATTCCTTTTCTGTGGTATATTTGCTAGCTTTTGGTCAAACATTACCTGAGCTCACTAGAAATCAACAAAATGAATCTTTATTTTACCACAAGCATTTTATTTTTATTTATTTATTTATTTATTTATTTATTTTTGAGATGAAGTCTTGTGTCACCCAGGCTGGAGTGCAGTGGAGCAATTTCGGTTCACTGAAGCCTCCACCTACCGGGTTGCAGCCATTCTCCTGCCTCAACCTCCCGAGTAGCTGGGAATACCGGTGGTGCCACCACACCCAGCTAATTTTTGTGTTTTTAGTAGAGACGAGGTTTCACATGTTGGCCAGGCTGGTCTCAAACTCCTGACCTCAGGTAATCCATCTGCCTCAGCCTCCCAAAGTGCTGGGATTACAGGCAAGAGCCACTGTGCCTGGCCAGAAGCATTTTGTTATTGATGCATATGCTTACTATGCTAAAAATACATTAGCTTTTTATGAAAAAAATCTTTCTTTCTTTCTTTTTCTTCCTTTTTTTTTTTTTTTTTTGAGACAGAGTCTCGCTCTGTCACCCAGGCTGGAGTGCAGTGGTGCAATTTCGGCTCACTGCAACCTCTGCCACCTGTGTTCAAGCGATTCTCCTGCCTCAGCCTCCCGAGTAGCTGGGACTACAGGCGCCTGCCATTGCGCCTGGCTAATTTTTGTATTTTTAATAGAGACAGGGTTTCACCGTGTTAGTCAGGATGGTCTCGATCTCCTGACTTCATGATCCACCCACCTCGGCCTCTCAGAGTGCTGGGATTACAGGTGTGAGCCACCGCGCCCGGCTCTTTCTTTTCTTTCTTTTCTGTCTTTTCTTTCTTTTCTCTCTCTTCTCTCTTTTCTCTCTTTCTCTCTTTCTTTTCTTTCTCACTGTGTTGCCAAGCCTGGAGTGCAGTGGTGTGATCTCGGCTCCCTGCAACCTCTGCCTCCTGGGTTCAAGCAATTCTCCTACTTCAGCCTCCCAAGTAGCTGGGACTTCAGGTGCTTGCCACCACACCCAGCTGATTTTTTTTTTTTTAACTAGAGATGGGGTTTCACTATGTTGGCCAGGCTCGTCTTGAATTCCTGACCTCATGATCTGCCTGCCTTGGCCTCCCAAAGTGCTGGGATTACAGGTGTGAGCCACCACACCCAGCCTATACTTTTCTTTCAGTGTTATTTATTGCTGAGAAGTGTCCTGCCAGGAAACTGCTATAATTAATCAGCTCTACTTACATTACTAATAGTGAGTTGTTGATGTGTGAATAGGAAACTGGTGTGTCTTCTCTGCATCTCTTTTTAAATTTATTCACAGAAGAGGAGGATGCCGATAGAAGATGAAGAAAGATCTGATCTTCCCCTTTCTTTGTCATCATGTGTGAAGTCAGAGAATAGGTAACATGGCACCCACCAGGTAGAGAATTCATCTGTATATTAAAAGATTAGGGTGCGATGGAAAGCTTCTTCACACACTATGTAATTGGCACACCTGTTCCAACAAATCCTCTGTGCCCTAGGTAAATCAGACACCACATCCTCAAGCACGTCTATAAAACCAAATGCAATTTGCCATGAATGAAGAGATCTGTTCGGAACCCTCTGCTTCTGCATGAGGGAACTTTTCTCTCTTGCTTATGAAATTTTCCCCCTTAAACTCACTCTTTGCATGTCTGTGTCCTTGATTTCCTTGGCATGAGCAAGGAACATGGGGTATTACCCCAGACAAATGATGCTGCTTCACGGCCACAAATATAATTGAAATATATTTGTATTTTCAGCTTGTGTAGGCATTGGCAAGCCTTCTTCCAGAATGTAGTAGCAACTTATACTACTTGTTTATATGAGGGATTATTTATTATCTAATTATCCTTATTTTCTAAACCCTACAGTAAACACTCTGAAGACAGAGACCTTTAATTTCATTCACCACTATATTTGCAATTTTTCAATTAAGTACGTAAATTTGATTTGACTTTGAAGCATTTATTTATTTATTTATTTAGAGACTGAGTCTTGCTCTGTCGCCCAGGCTGGAGTGCAGTGGTGCGATCTCGGCTCACTGCAAGCTCTGCCTTCCTGGTTCACGCCATCCTCCTGCCTCAGCCTCCCGAGTAGCTGGGACTACAGGCGCCTGCCACCGTGCCCTGCTAATTTTTTGCATTTTTAGTAGGGATGGAGTTTCACCTGTGTTAGCCAGGATAGTCTCGATCTCCTGACCTCATGATCCACCCGCCTCGGCCTCCCAAAGTGCTGGGATTACAGGCTTGAGCCACTGCGCCCAGCCTAAGCATTTATTTTTTTTTAAAGAATAACTATCTGCCTGGCACAGTGGCTCATGCCTGTAATCCCAGCACTTTGGGAGACAGAGATGGGTGGATCATGAGTTCAGGAGTTCGAGACTAGTCTGGCCAATATGGTGAAACCCTGTCTCTCTAAAAGTACAAAAATTAGCTGGGTGTGGTGGTACGCACCTGTAGT